CATTGCACTCCAGCCTGGGTAACAAGAGCGAAGCTCAGTCCCAAAAAAAAAAAAAAAAAAAAAAGAATAACTAAATTAATTCCTTTTTTTTCTTTTTTTTTTTCTTTTTGAGACAGAGTTTTGTTCTTCATGCCCAGGCTGAAGTGCAATGGTAGGACCTCGGCTCACTGCAACCTCCACGTCGTGGGTTCAAGTTTTCTCCTGCCTTAGCCTCCCAAGTAGTTGGGACTACAGTTGCGTACCACCACGCCTAGTAATTTTGTATTTTTAGTAGAGATGGGGTTTCACCATGCTGGCCCGGCTGGTCTTGAACTCCTGACCTCAGGTGATCCACCCACCTCGGCCTCCCAAAGTGCTAGGATTACAGATGTGAGCCACTGCATCCCTTTTATTTCTTAGAACCTACCCAGTTAAATAATTTGACTTAAACAGAACTTACTACAGCTAATGAAGTAACATCCATATGATAAAAGAATCCTAGGCATTGGTTAGCTCTCCTAAATCAACTTGTCAAGGCTGTATTTAACATGTCAAGATACTTGCAAAATAAGACAACATTAAAGGCTTATAAACCTTGAAAAGTATGTGGGTATGTGGCGGGGTATGGTGGCTCGCGCCTATAATCCTAGCACTTTGGGAGGCCGAGGTGGGTGGATCACAAGGTCAGTTCAAGACCAGCCTGGCCGCTGTGATAAAAACTCTGTCTCTACTAAAAATACAGAATTAGCCGGGCATGGTTGTGGATGCCTGTATTCCCAGCTACTCGGGAGGCTGAGGCAGGAGAATCCCTTGAACCCAGGAGGCAGAGGTCGCAGTCAGCCTAGATCGCACCACTGCACTTCAGCCTGGGTGACAGTGAGACTCCATCTAAAAAAACCCCAGCAATATATATATATGTAGTATATATATATATGTTATATATATTCTTATATTTAATAAGAATAAACAAAGGTACATACCCACATTCATGGTGCTGCCAGTGAGACTCTCATGGTTGATGGGCAGCAGCGTGCTCAGCTTGAGGTCCATCACCATCTATCTATAGATCTATATATATATGTGGGTATATGCCTTTGTTTATTCTTATTAAATATAAGTTCATGCTAAACTTCAGATCCCAAAGTTAAAATTTAGTAAGAATTTCAACTTGGGGATCTGAAGTTTAGCATGAAAGTGAGTCACTGCCAACTGCTATCAAAGGGGGCTAGACTGATTTAGTTTTTTATTTTTTATATTTTGAGACAGAGTTTTGCTCTTGTTGCCCAGACTGGAGTGCAATGGCGCAATCTTGGCTCACTGCAACCTCTGCCTCCCAGGTTCAAGCGATTCTCCTGCCTCAGTCTCCTGAGTAGTTGGGATTACATGCGCCTGCCACCAGGCCCGGCTAATTTTTGTATTTTTAGTAGAGACGGGGTTTCACCGAGTTAGCCAGGATAGTCTCGCTCTCCTGACCTCATGATCCGCCCGCCTCAGCCTCCCAAAGTGCTGGGATTATAGGCGTGAGCCACCATGCTCGGCCTTAGTTTGCATTTTCTAGAATTTTCTATAAATGCATTCAAACTTCTGTGGCCCTCTTGCTTCTTTCACTCAGAGTAATTATCTTGAGATTAAACTATTTTACTGTGTGTATAAATAATTCCTTTTTGTTGCTGCGAAGTATCCTACTGTGTGGATATATTAGGTTGGTGCAAAAGTAAGTATGGTCTTTGTCATTAAAAGTAATGGCAGGCCATTAAAAGGAGTTGGAGACCAGCCTGGCCAACATGGTGAAACACCGTCTCTACTACAGATACAATTAGCCTGGTGTATGGTGGCATGCTTCTGTAATCCCAGCTACTCGGGAGGCTGAGGCAGGAGGATTGCTTGAACCCAGGAGGTGGGCGTTGCAGCAAGCCAAGATCATGCCACCACAGTCCAGCCTGGGCAATAGAGCAAGACTCAATCTCAAAAAAAAAAAAAAAAAAAAAGTAATGGCAAAGACAGCAACTACTTTTGGACCAACCTGTTACCATAATGGTTTAGCCATTCACTTGTGAATGGACAGTTGGGTTGTTTCTGGAATTCTGGCCAGTACAAATAAAGCTGCTTGCATATTCCTGTATCGTAAGTCTTTGTATAGACATATTTTATTCACTTCTGTAGAAATGGAATGGCTAGGTCATATGGTAGGTGTATATTTAATTTTTTTTTCTATAGAGACAGGGTCTTGCCCTGTCACCCAAGCTGGATGCAGTGGTGCAATCATGGCTTACTGCAGTCTCAAACTCCTGGGCTCAAGTCATCCTCCCACCGCAGCCTCTCAACTAACTGGGACTATAGGCATGAACCACACTACGCCCAGCTCATTCTAAATTTTTTTGTGGAGACAGGATCTTGCTATGTTGCCCATGGTGGTCTCAAACTCCTGGCCTCAAGCAATTCTCCTGCCTCAGCCTCACAAAGTGCTGGGGTATATTTAACATTTTAAGAAACTGCCAGATGTTTTCCAAAGTGGTTAGACCAGTGACATTCCCACCATCAGCGTAGGACGGTCCCAGCTGCTCCAGATTCTAGTCAGTACTTGCTACGGTCAATTTTTAAATTCCAGACATTCTAATAGGTATGAAGTGGTATCTCAATGTGGTTTTCACTGCATTCCCCTAATGACTAACAATGTTGTGCATCTTTTCACACACTAAACCACCATATATTCATAGCTCTGTTTTCAACTGATAGAGAAGTTCTAGACTGTTATTCAGTCCCAGAGAGACACTATTCTTTATGTCTGTGTAGCATATCCTCCTTTAATTGCTTCTCCAGATTTGCCTCCTGTCTGCACTATGCTAATAAAACACTCATCAGACCAGGCGCGGTGGCTCACGCCTGTAATCCCAGCACCTTGGGAAGCTGAGGGGGGTGGATTGCCTGAGGTCGGGAGTTCAACACCAGCCTGGCCAACATGGTGAAACCCCATCTCTACTAAAAATACAAAAATTAGCCAGTTGTGTTAGTTCATGCCTGTGGTCCCAGCTACTTAAGAGGCTGACGTGGGAGAATTGCTTGAGCCCAGGTGGCGGAGGCTGCAGTGAGCTGAGATTATGCCATTGCACTTCGGCCTGGGCAACAGAGCCATCCCATCTTACAAAATAATAATAATAGGCCAAGCACAGTGGCTCATGCCTGTAATCCCAGCACTTTGGAAGGTCAAGGCAGGTGGATCACAAGGTCGAGATCGAGATCATCCCGGCCAACATGGTGAAACCCCATCTCTGCTAAAAATACAAAAATTAGGTGGGCATGGTGGCACGTACCTGTAGTCTCAGCTACTCAGGAGGCTGAGGCAGGAGAATCGCTTGAACCCGGGAAGTGGAGGTTGCAGTGAGCCAAGATCACACCACTGCACTCCAGCCTGGGCAACAGGGCGAGACTCCATCTCAAAAAAAAAGAAAAAAAAGGAGAGGAAAAAAGATTTTTTAAAAAAATATAGAAACAGGGTCTCACTACTATATTTCCAGGCTGGTCTTGAACTCCTGGGGTCAAGCAATCCTCCCACCTCGGCTTCCCAAGGTGCTGGGATTACAGGCATGAGCCACCATGCCTGGCCAAAAGATTTTTACTCTAAGCCTTTCATTAAAGAAAAAGCATTTGCTGGGAGCAGTGGCTCACACCTGTAATCCCAGCACTTTGGGAGGCCAAGGGAGGTGGATCACCCAAGGTCAGGAGTTGGAGACCAGCCTGACCAACATGAAGAAACCCCGTCTCTACTAAAAATACAAAATTAGCCAGGTGTAGTGGCACATGCCTGTCATCTCAGCTACTTGGCAGGCTGAGGTAGGAGAATCGCTTGAATCCAGGAGGCAGAAGTTGCGGTGAGCCAAGATGGTGCGATTGCACTCCAGCCTAGACAACAGGAGCAAAACTTCAGACTGTACTTTCAGGGATCATTTCTATAGTTTGTTACTAGAGAAGTTTCTCTGAACGTGTTAAAAAAAAAAAAAAAAAAGAAAAACTCTATCTCAAAAAAAAAAAAAAAGAAAAAGAAAAAGCATCCATCCCTGCTGTAGTTCCTGAATCCTCAGAGTAACGATGCTGAAGGATAACCACACACCACAGGCCAGTGTTGGAAAGGCCTCCTGCCTGGGCTGTAATGTAGTCCACAGCCTAGAACGAACTTTCTTTCTTTTTTTGAGACAAAGTCTCTCTCTCTCACCCAGGCTGGAGTGCAACGGTGTGATCTTGGCTCACTGCAACCTCTGCTTCCTGGGTTCAAGCAATTCTTGGGCTTCACCCTCCTGAGTAGCTGGGATTAAGGTGTGAGCCACCACACCTGGCTAATTTTTCTGTATTTTTAGTAGAGAAGGGGTTTCACCATGTTGGTCAAACTGGTCTAGAACTCCTGATCTCAAGTGATCCACCTGCCTCAGCCTCCTAAAGTGCTAGGATTACAGCACCTGGTCATAGCCTAGAACTTTCTCATTAGTGGGATGAAGATTTCATTTTGCCACTCTGGTATCTTGGAAAATCATAGATATTAGATATTTTCCTTTTTTATGTTTTTAAAATTTTATTGAAATAAAAAATAGACGCACGGACTCGCTATGTTGCCCATACTAGTCCTTGGCCCCCCAGAGTGTTGGGATTATAGGCATGAAGCACTGTACTTCATGTCACTGAACACAGACATTTTCTTATATAATGAAATCCCATTTACCATACATTAATCTGTATACATCTCTGCAGATAGAGAAATCTGTAAGCAAGCCCACCAACGCGTCACCTGGGTCTCTCTAGACACTGCTAGGAGTTGTGTGGAGGAAGGGGCAGCTGAGACCAGGCAGTTGGGTGATATCTTCGGGGTGTACATTTCTGTATTGTTCTTTCATTTATATTTTCTGAGGCGGAGTCTCACTCTGTCGCCCAGGCTGGAGTGTAGTGGTGTGATCTTGGCTCAATGCAGCCTCCGCCTCCTGGGTTCAAGTGATTCTTCTGCCTCAGCCTCCTGAATAGATGGGACTACAGGCTTACACCACCACACTCAGCTAATTTTTGTATTTTTAGTAGAGATGGGGTTTCACCATATTGGCCAGGCTGGTCTCGAACTCCTGACCTCGTGATCTGCCTGCCTCAGCCTCTCAAAGTGCTGGGATCAAGGCATGAGCCACTGTGCCCGGCCTCTGTATTGTTCTTTTGATCTGTTTTTCTTTTTCTTCCTTTTTTTCTTTTTTTTTTAAACAATAAACATGTATCAGATTGCCATACGCACACACACACACACACACACACACACACACATAATTTTTTTTTGAAAGAAAAAAGGTAGTCCCGGCACAGGGGCTCACACTTACAATCCCAGCACTTTGGGAGGCTGAGGCAAGAAGATCACTTGAGCCCAGGTGTTCAAGACCAGCCTGGGCAACAAATTGAGACCCTGTCTCTACCAAAAAATAAGAAAATTAGTTGGGCAGCGTGGTGGCATGTGCCTGTAGTTCCAGCTACTTGGGAGGCTGAGGCAGGAGGATCGCTTGAGCCCAGAAGGTTGAGGCTGCAGTGAGCCATGATTATACCCCTGCACTACAGCCTGGGTGACACAGTACCTTGTCTCAAAGAAACAAAACAAAACAAACAAAAAATAAATAAAATAAATAAAAGGATTTCCTTAAAAAAGCATCTTAAAATCCCAGAATTTTAAAAACTGGAGGAATAGCCAAAATAAGCAAGCTAACAATGTTACCAGAGAAGCAGGAAAGGCCTGCTGGTGAGAGGTCTGGCTTGGGGAAGCTGGGGATTTCTCAGCAAAATACAAACCTTTTCATTGAGTGTTGGTGCCTCTTCGTAGATTAACAAACTCTTAGGTGAGTTCTTTTTTTCGGAAGGGGACTCTGTCTCATCTTCTCTCAAGACAGCTTTTGAAGAGCCCAAAGAGTGGGGATCTTGGATGGCAATTAGCTCACTACGAGTAAGGAAACCAAACAAAAGCAGATTCTTAAAACTGTATGATATATAGATCACTAATATATATGTATTATACATAGATCATATATATATATGTATCATATATAGATCATTAATACTCTTAAAAGTATCTTGGGCCAGGCTCGGTGGCTCACGCCTGTAATCCTAGCACTTTGGGAGGCCAAGGCAGGTGGATCACTTGAAGTCAGGAGTTTGAGACCGGCCTGGCCAACATGGTGAAATTCCATCTCTACTAAAAATACAAAAATTAGTCAGGCATGGTGGCAAACGCATGTAATCTCAGCTACTTGGGAGGCTGAGGCAGAAGAATCACTTGAACCCAGGAGGCGGAGGTTGCAATAAGCCAAGATCGTGCCACTGCACTCCAGCCTGGGTGACTCATGCCTGTAGTCCCAGCTACTTGGGAAGCTGAGCAGGAATCACTTGAGCCCAGGAGTTAGAGGCTGCAGTGAGCTATGATTACACCACTGCACTCCAGCCTAGGTGACAGTGAGACTCTATCTCTAAAAAAAATAGAATACGGTTATGCTTGTGAACACTTTAGGTTTTCAGTTTGTGAGACTGATTTTTGTTAATGGCTTTGTATTTTTATTAATTTATTTACTATTATTATTTTTAGAGATGGGGTCTCACTATGTTGCCCAGGCCTTGAACTCCCTAGCTCAAGAGATCCTCCTGCTTTGGTCTCCCAAAGTGTTGGGATTACAGGCATGAGCCACCTCACCTGGCCAATGACATTTTTTTTTTTTTTTGAGACCGAGTATCACTCTGCCGCTGAGGCTGGAGTGCAGTGGCACAATCTTGGCTCACTGCAACCTCCACCTCCTGGGTTCAAGCGATTCCTGTGTCTCAGCTTTCTGAGTAGCTGGGACTACAGGCGTGCGCCACCACGTCCAGCTCATTTTTGTATTTTTTGTAGAGATGGGTTTTCATCATGTTGGCCAGGCTGGTCTCGAACTCCTGACCTCAGGCGATCCACCTGAGTTTGATAGCAAAAGCTGTTCTGGAACAGACCAGAGGCACTAGAACTGCTTCCTCCCATGTAACCTATAACAAAGTGAGAACAGGCTGCCCACGGTTTCTCCTTGTACGGGTAAACCTCTGTTTGTCAAATGGAATGCTTTGCACAAATGTGAACATTTTAGTTAGATAATAAAGTAGGTACACAAGTTCTCATAATCTATGGAAAAATAGGAAAACATAATTATCTTTTCTACTTAATCACATATTTGTCATGTGATGTCTTGGCATCCGTCTCTGCTGGAGAACGGGCAATCACTTCAATCGTTTTAAGTCGGCGAAGTCAAAAGGGCCTTGAAAGAAACTCTGAATGTAAATTTGAATTTATTTCATACATTAATTTTAATCCTCTATGCTCTTAAAACTATCTGACATAAGCTTTTCCCTTAATATACGAGTGTCCCTGTCCAGCAGTGAAAAATAGGCGGTTGGGCTCTGATACTTGCAATTATCCAAAGAAGGTCTTTAAAACCCAAACATGAATAGATGACATTTAGTGTGACGATGAACTTTTAAAAATGATTTGCACCTGGGAAGATGACTATCTGTATGACCTTTAAATGATTCAAGTTTCTAAAAGGACCAAAGGAAATAAACACAAGAAAATGAAAGAGCCAAAGGATACTCCAAAGAATTAAGTACTAGGGATAAATTTTAATCATAAACTCCTATAAAAGCCAATGCAATGATTAAAATATGGCTCTCAGTATAGAAACTTCATCCCTTCTGTAATTTAAGATTAAAGAGCTATGCTTTATTTAAAAATAGCAGACATTATTATGGCGCCACTCAAACACAAGATTTGGCAATTCTAACAATAAGACAAGCCTGAATAAGGCAGCATACGCTAATTACTAATCCATTTTCTTTTCTTAAAAAAACTTGGCCGGGCGCAGTGGCTCATGCCTGTAATCCCAGCACTTTGGGAGGCCGAGGCGGGTGGATCACAGGGTTAGGAGTTCGAGACCAGGCTGACCAACATGGTGAACCATGTCTCTACTAAAAATATAAAAATTAGCCAGGCATGGTGGTGCATGTCTGTAATCCCAGCTACTCGGTAGGCTGAGGCAGGAGAATCTCTTGAACCCAGGAGTTGGAGGTTGCAGTGAGCTGAGATTACGCCATTGTACTCCAGCCTGGGCGATAGAGTGAGACTCTGTCTCAAAACAAAACAAAACAAAAACCAATAACTTACCAGCTTGTTAAATGCAAGTATCCTCTTTCTTGAATGATTTTCAAAAATTAAGGAAGTTTGGGCAATGTAAAGTCCCAAACAGATATGAACTGAATGAACACCAAGGCAGATACAATTGGATATGTAAATATACTAAGTGACCCTGGATAAGAGCTGAGAGATGCTGGGTGTTGGTGACTCACACCTGTAATCCCCACAGTTCAGAAGGCTGAGGTGAAAAGATTAAGCCCAGGAGTTCGAGACTAGCCTGGGCAATATTGCAACACCTCATCTCAATTTAAAAAAAAGAGAGAGGCCTGGCACGGTGGCTCACGCCTGTAATCCCAACACTTTAGGAGGCCGAGGCGGGTGGATCACAAGGTCAGGAGTTTGAAACCAGCCTGGATAACATGGTGAAATCCCATCTCTACTAAAAATACAAAAATTAGCTGGGCACAGTGGCAGGAACCTATAATCCCAGCTACTTGGGAGGCTGAGGCAGGAGAATAGCTTGACTGGGGAAGCAGAGGTTGCAGTGAGCCGAGATCGTACCACTGCACTCCAGCCTGGGCAACAAGAGAGACTCTATCTCAAAAAAAAAAAAAGTGTGAAAATAAAAAAGAAAACACACACACACGAAAAAAAAAGAAAAAAGAAAAAAAGTATAGAGAATGGGGTCTTTCTATATTGCCTATGCTGGTCTCAAACTCCTGGCCTCATGTGAACCTCCTGCCTTGGCCTCCCAAAGTGCTAGAATTACAGGCATGAGCCGCCACAATGCACGAAGAGAAATTTTTCTATGGGGTCTAGGTAATGCCATCTGGACCAGAACTGGTCGTCATGTCAATTCAGAACAGCTTCTGGGGTGAGGAATGCTCCAGGGTGGCATTCCACTCCGTGCAGCGACCCACCCGTTTGCTCTTTAAAAAAACCTATTTGCTCAAGTCACAACAACTGGTTTTGTTTTCAAACAAAACCTTTGCCTCAGAAGCTATCCTCAGTATAAACTCGTCCCTGGAATCTAATACAGTCTCTACAATTAAAGACTCCACAGTCTGTGCTGTGACGAAAAAGGTGAACCGCTGGTCCTAAGTAAGATTTCTGTTAGCAAACGCTGCTTCTGGGTTAACAGTCGGTATGACGGGGCTTCTGTAACCCTTTATATTTCTAAATATTGGCATGTATACTCCCTGGATGTTTACAGAGGTGAACATTACTCACCTGGCCAGGGAATCACGTCTTGTCCCACGGATGCTTTCTGAACACGTGCACCCAGATTTGTGGCGGACAATTCTCTGCATCATGGAAGGTTTGAAAATACTCATCCACTCCACGTCAGACATGTGGCCTGGGGCTTCAATTATGAAGTTACTTGGGTGGCAGCACTTGGAGTCACACATGCCACTTTCACCCAGACAGGCTTCATTTTTCTGGCAGCATGAGATTTCGGAGCTTTCCATCTGATCTTGACATTCTACATCCAGCTTTTCTGGTTGTTTTGAACTTGGACAGCTGGTCAGGCCCAGGTAAACACTGACGTCGTGCCACTGCTTCCCATCAGATAAAGTGGGCGTTTCTGAGGGTTGTTTTTCTTCGTTCTGAACCCCAGTTCCGTGACATTTTGGTGATTTTGCATGGATCTTGCACAGTGTAATTTTGTTTTCGGGTTCAATCTGGGCTTTTCCTCCCAGAGGCCAAGACTTGCGTTTCTCTACTAAGTCTTTTGTAAATATGGACGACAGCGTAATTACACTTTTCTCCCCGAAGGCAGTATTGATCAGCCGTTTCTTTTTGCATTCATCACAAGAGCTCTTGTCTGACCTATTCTGCTGAACCAACATGGCTTCAAATTTCTGGTCCTTAAACAGTGACTTCTGATTTTTTTCCCTCTTAATATCGACTTTTGGGTAGTTATTTTCAAGGTCTGATAAACACATGTCTCTGCTATGGTGGCATTATTTTAAAAAAATGGAAGTTATAAGATACACTTGATGCTATCATTCTAAATATTTCACCCAAAACTCAGTAGACCTAAATCCCAATGAGACTTAATTATCTGAGCCTCAGAGCCCAATTCCAGCCCGATCTTCTCCTGGAAGCCTTTCTGGCCACCAAGCCCACATTCCCTTTTCCATCCTTACCTCTTACTGTACTTACTGTCTACATGACAAAAAAATAATACTACAGAAATGTGACAAAACCTTTTCATAAATCTTCCTTTAAAATGTTTCATGTCACTTGTATTCAGGTATCCTAATCTGCATCATTCTGATACCTTAGAAAATACAACTCTCTCCTTCCGTAACGGCACAAACTGTTTTATGCTTAAAAAATTTTCTTTTGGTAGCGACAGAGTCTTGTTACGTTGCCCAGGCTGCTCCTGCACTCCCGGCCTCAAGCGACCCTCCAGCCTGAGCTCCCAAAGCACTGGGATTACAGGTGTGAGCCATGGCACCCAGCCCATTTTAAGCTTTTAAGAAATAACCTCAACTCATCTAGTACCTCCCAGAGGCAATGAGGGTCAAAAAGGAGAAAGACAGCCTGGGCAACAGAATGAAATGCCGTCTCTACAAAAAAAAAAAAAAGTAGCCAGGCATGGTGGTGCGCACCTGTGGGCCCAGCTACTTACTTGGAAGGCTGAAGTGAGAGGATCGCTTGACCCCAGGAGGCGGAGGTTGTAGTGAGCTGAGTCCGTGCCACTGCACTCCAGCCTGGGCAACAGAGCAAGACCCCATCTCAAAAAAAGAAAAAAGGACAGTGGCTCAAGCCTGTAATCCCAGCACTTTGGGAGGTCGAGGCGGGTGGATCACGAGATCGAGACCATCCTGGTCAACATGGTGAAACCCCGTCTCTACTAAAAAAAAATACAAAAAATTAGCTGGGCATGGTGGCGCGTGCCTGTAATCCCAGCGACTCAGGAGGCTGGGGCAGGAGAATTGCCTGAACCTGGGAGGCGGAGGTTCTGGTGAGCCAAGATCGCGCCATTGCACTCCAGCCTGGGTAACAAGAGCGAAACTCCGTCTCAAACAAACAAACAAACAAACAAACAAAAGAAAAAAGGAGAAAGAGCCAGTATGTTTGGGGCTTCTGCCTGCAATAGAACTCTGAGTTAGTCTGGTGTCTGTTGGCAGTGGCAGCAGCTGGGACCTGGAGCCACAGGTCCCAACCCCCACAGAGAGCCCCAAAGGACAGTGCAACAAGTGTAGCGGAAAGCAGGGGGGCCCCAGCCACAGGCCACATGCCTGGGGCAATCATTGCAATGCTGCAGCTACTAAGCCCCGCTGCTCTGAACTCATTCTCATTCTCGCAGGGAAAGTTGCTGCTGCAAACCTGTCCAGCCTCCGTGCTTCCAAGCAGTCACGGGGAGCTGCCCTAAACCCTCTCCCTTTCAAAGGCTTCTTGTGACATTTTGGCTTAGAAAAGTAGACTAAGTTTAGCTGTGGTACAGTTATATGGTTGTTAAATTAAACCACACTTTACATATTTATATTTTAATTTTACAGAAACTAATTTAATTCCCACACTGCTTGTTGTAGGGAAGGGAAGATGTTTCCCATTAACGAGGCAAGCAGGAAAATCCAGTTAAAGGCACAGATCACCCTCAGTGGAGTGGGGCTCCTACTCAGTGATCAATGCATTCCTTGGCATTACTTCTTTCAGGAAAGTGCCATGTCCTGTATACCTACATGTGCCCAAGTCCTAGCCCACTGTCTAAACAGGGATGCTGGATGGATGGATGGATGGATGGATAATGAATGAATGAATGATTCAACTCTGTAGTGTATACTCTAGCTCAAAGCCTTCTACCCAAAAGAAGGGCAAATCACGTTTAAAAAATTTACTTCTATCCAATGGCTAAATCAGGATCACACCTAAAATTCTTAGATCAGGTCTTCCTACAACTGAGGATTATGATAAGCATTATTAGCTCACACACATTTCTTTATTTTACTTTATTTTTGAGATGAAGTTTTGGTCTTGTCACTCAGGCTGGAGTGCAGTGGCATGATCTCGGTTCACTGCAACCTCCACCTCCTGGGTTCAAGCAATTCTCCTGACTCAGTCTCCCTAGTAGCTGGGATTACAGGTGCCCGCGATAATGCCCAGCTAATTTTTGTATTTTTATTTATAAATTTACTTATTTTGAGACCGAGTCTCACTCTGTTGCCCAGGCTGGAGTACCGTGGTGCGATCTTGGCTCACTGCAACCTCTGCCTCCTGGGTTCAAGCCATTCTTGTACCTCAGCCTCCCGAGTAGCTGGGACTACAGGCGTGAGCCACTATGCCCAGCTAATTTTTGTATTTTTAGTAGAGATGGAGTTTCACCATGTTGGCCAGGCTGGTCTCAAACTCCTGACCTCAGGTGACCCACCCACTTAGGCCTCCCAAAGTGCTGGGATTACAGGCGTGAGCCATCGCGCCTGGCCACATTTATTTCCTACCACATGGGGAACAGTAGTCGGTACTGGCCAATAGTAAGTGCACAGTAATTACTGACTGATGGAATACAATACAAGATCGTATTAATTGCATCTTGCTAAGATTACCTGGAGTCTAGAGCCTTTGATTCCTCCATCTTTGAATCATACATCTGTATTAATTCCTGAGAATTTTCCGCATTGAAATTAAGAAACTGCAGATCACTCTGTTGTTTTACATAAATCTGTCATAGATATTGATAAATCAGTATGAAATGTAAGAACAAAACTAAACTGAACCAACACTTTGGCACTTTCCCTGAAACAGTTCACAAATCCTAAAACAGATCAGATAGTTACTAGAGAAATATGCTAAATGTATCTCCTTTTAATTTTCCTATGTTAGCTCTAAGGCTTGGTAGGATAGCTGGCCTCCCAACGTTTAATCACCACAGGCAAGACCCCATCTGCTGTACTAAACACGATATACGGCTAAGTAGTTAGGATTCCAAACCACCAATTAAACAAAATTGACAGGCATACATTTTTCCTAATTTGCTATTTGTTTACAAGCATTTCTTACGTGATAGAGAAGGACGTTTGGGGACGTACCTGTCTCAGATTGTGCAGTTCTGAATCTGTGCGTTCTTGCTTTGACTTCGCAATATTAAGCAATTCGTCTTTCCTCTTTTCTCTCTCTACTATTTAAGAACAAGTATTATTAAACATTTTTCAACCGCTGTATCAACACAAACCTCTCCATTTCCAACAATTTAATGCTCAGCTAACATTTGCTTTTTTAATTTTAACACCTAGAAAGTTTATTTTGATATTAGGTTTTTAACTTTTGAAAGAGCTAACAGTTGTGTTGTTGTTGTTCCTGAACTTAAAAATAGCAGAATGGGCTGGGCATGGTGGCTCACGCCTGTAGAGGGTAGATCACCCGAGGTCACAAGTTCGAGACTAGCTTGGCCAACATGGCAAAACCCCATCTCTACTAAAATACAAATTTAGCTGGGTGTGGTGGCGCATGCTTGTGGTTCCAGCTACTTGGGAGGCTAAGGCAGGAGAATCACTTGAACCTGGGAGGCAGAGGTTGCAGTGAGCTGAGATTGCGCCACTGCACTCCAGCCTGGATGACAGACTGAGTACTCTGTCTCAAAAAAAAAGAACGGATTTGTAGATTCAGGGATTAAGAACAATTATTTGTCTTTCCTTTTGTGGTGGATAGAATGAAGGTGATTTCTAAATCTCTATACTTAATACATATTACTTTAATTACGTATTTTTAAATTTTAAAAGATAAAATATTTTTAAAAATAGAGATGGAGTCTCGCTATGTTGCCCAGGCTGGTCTTGAATTTCTGAGTTTCACCATGTTAGCCAGGCTGGTCTCGAAATCCTGGCCTCATGTGATCTGCCTGCCTCAGCCTCCCAAAGTGCTGGGATTACAGGCATGAGCCACTGTGCCCAGCCAAAACCAAGACATTTTAACAGTGGAAGTAATATCCACAGTGCATCTGACTCAGTGGGTCTCAATTCTACACAGCTGTCATGTTAACAGCATCTTTTTTTTTTTTTTTTTTTTGAGACTAAGTCTCTCTCTGTTGCCAGGCTGGAGGGGCAGTGGCTCGATCTTGGCTCACTGCAACCTCTGACTCCCTGGTTCATGCAATTCTCCTGCATCAGCCTCCTGAGTAGCTGGGACTACTGGTGCATGCCACCATGCCCAGCTAATTTTTGTATTTTTGTAGACACAGGGTTTCACCATGTTGGTCAGAATGGCCTCGATCTCCTGACCCCGTGATCTGCCACCTCAGCCTCCCAAAGTGCTAGGATTACAGGCGTGAGCCACCGTGGCTGGCCATTAACAGCACCTTGACAAGCTAGGTGTACTCCTAATGTTTAAAGAAACCTGTTTTATGGTAATCCCAGCTATGGGAGGCTGAGGTGGGAAGATGGCTTGAGCCCAGGAGTTTGAGACCAGCCTGAGCAGCACAGCAAGACATTGTCTCTTAAAAAAAAAAAAAAAAAAAAAAAAGATACTTGTTTTGGATACAACATGGTTCTTACACAAAAGCCAACTAGTTTATCTGGCCCTCAGAGTAATTTTAATATATTTGAATGTCGGCCAGTGGTGTTGTCGGGGGGGGGTGGGGGAGGGTGGTGTTCAGAGAAAGAGAAAAATATAACTATATATATTTGAATGTTGCCTTGATTTTAGAATAATCTCCTTTTGCATAAGGGGCAATGTCACTGTAAATATAAATGTTTCCCTAGTTCAGATCATTTTCTTTATGGCTGTGTTTAGCTGAGAGGTCAAAGTGGAGTGGGTCTGCCTATTTTCACAAGTTGGCCACAGGAAACAAAGAGAAGGTAAGGAACTCTCTGCTGCTATTTGCCTGAACAAGCAGCCTAAGATAAAACAATGGGAGGGGACTTAGACATCTGGAACCTGCTGAATTCTGATCAAGACTCTGCCTTTTACTGCCTGGGAGAGCTGAGGCAGACACTCAGTCCACAAGAGCTCACCTACAGGACTGTCAGGACCCACAGAAATGCAAACTGGTGATCAGGTGTGGTGGCTCATGCTTATAATCCCAGCAGTTTGGGAGGCTGAGGCGGGCAGATCACCCAAGGTCAGGAGTTCAAGACTAGCCTGACCAACATGGTGAAACCCTGTCTCTACTAAAAATTCAAAAATTAGCCAGGTGTGGTGGTGCATGCCTGTAATCCGAGCCACTTGGGAGGCTGAGGCAGGAGAATCGCTTGAATCTGAGAGGCAGAGTTTGCAGTGAGCTGAGATCACACCAATGCACTCCAGCCTGGGCAACAGAGTAAGACTCTGTCTCAAAAAATGAAATGTTGCTGCCGGGCACGGTGGCTCAAGCCTGTAATCCCAGCACTTTGGGAGGCCGAGGCGGGTGGATCACAAGGTCAAGAGATCAAGACCATCCTGGTCAACATAGTGAAACCCCGTCTCTACTAAAACTACAAAAAAATTAGCTGGGCATGGTGGCGCGTGTCTGTAGTCCCAGCTACTCAGGAGGCTGAGGCAGGAGAATTGCCTGAACCCAGGAGGCGGAGGTTGCGGTGAGCCGAGATCGCGCCATTGCACTCCAGCCTG